TCAGCTCCCTCCAGGAGCTCTCCGGACTTGCGCAACGTGCAAAGCCCGTACAGCAGAGCAGCCTATGTCCACGGGTAGGTGTTGGCAACAGCGCAGATGTAAGGGCGCAAGCGCGTTGCTGTGCAGGCGCGGCACGGCGCTGGGGACGAGTGGGCGCGGGGGCGCTCGCATGGAGGAAGGAAAAACGGTATAAACGTGCACTTTCGGAGGTCCGTGCGGATTTCTTGGATCGGCGCTGAACCTCGCTCTCTGGCGCGCGGAGCGCGCCAGGGGCGGCGCCGTAGGCGCCGCCTGGGGGGGCCCAGCGCCGATCCTAGAAATCCGCGCGGTGCTCCGACAGTTTATCTGTTTGTATTTTTAGGTCTCCTACAGGCAGGTTTTGCACAACAAATACAAATAGTCAAATCATCGACAAAAATAGACAAACACTGTCAACACATCCGTCAGCGTTGACTCCAAATAGACTAGACGACTCAAATTAAGGAATCAGAGGAATCAAGAATGCTTGGAATCCGCAACTCAGCAAGCAAGCAAACGTGCAAGCAAGAGCGCAAGCGCGCAAGCGTGCAAGCGCGCAAGCAAGGAAACACGCAAGCAACCAAGCATTGGAAACATAGGCATAAGCATAGGCATAGGCATAGGAACGCTCAGAGATGGTACACAGGCATAGGCATAGGCATAGGCGTAGGCATAGGAGTTAGAGTTGAGGCATAGGCATAGGCATGGGCATAGCCATAGGAATTAGGGGGGGCATAGGAATCAGGGGGGGGACAACGGACCAACTAGTAAGGTTTGAGTTAGAACTCCTGTAGGGCAAGCCTACTTGGAGAAAATCGTCCCCAGACTATTTCTTGACCATGTTTGAATTTTTCCTCCTGCAGAGAGACACGCCCGATTTAAGTGTAACTTTTTGCTCGATCGCGGGCGCGCGGGCGCACGGGCGCGCGAACGCACAAGCTGGCAGATGCGCGGGCGTGCCGGCTCGCAGGCGGAACGCGCGGCGAGCCGGCATCGTTGGGTGCACGCACGGTGCCCGAGCCCACGCGCTTTCTGAGAGCGGTGCTGTGGTCACGAGGAGGGGAAGAATGGAGGAGGAGGAGGAGGAGGAGGAGGAGGAGGAGGAGGAGGAGGAGGAGGAGGAGGAGGAGGAAGAGGAGGAGGAGGAGGGAGCGAGCCCAGGAAGCGCTGCCTGGGAACTGGAACTGCCTGGGAGCTGCGCGCGAGCCCAGGAGGCGCTGCCCGGGAGCCGCCCGGGAGCTGCGCGCGAGCCCAGGAGGCTGCGCACGAGCTGGGAATCTCTGCCAAGGCGCCGGGCAAACGCTTGCGGCGCACGTCTTGAGAACGGCAGCGAAAGCGCTGGCGGGACACGCTGCGAGTTCTAGCAAAGTGCTGTGGGGATGCCGGACCGGCCGCCGAGGAGAGGCAGCTGACCTGGTTCAGTCTGTTGGCTTCTTCTCAGGTGCCCTTCAACTCTCTGAAGGAGTTGTCTGGGAATGCGCTATCAAACAATCATCGCGTTGTTGTTGTTGTTGTTGTTGTTGTTGTTGTTGTTGTTGAACATTATTTATTCTAAAGAATAATTATTGTTGGGCCCCCTGGTGCGCGCCCCCCCTGCGCCGCCTAGGCCGCAGCTACATTTTCATCATTTTCGTGAGGAAGCCTCAGAAAAGAGGGTGTGTACAGGATCCGGTTGTTTTGTTGTAATCCGCTTTCCCTTGCAAAAAACAATAGAAAATGACATTTCTTGTTCTAATATAATCAAATTTCAAGAATCCCTTGCAAAAATAAGGTAAAGTGGACATTCGCGCGCGCAAGACGAAATCCTTCCAAAAGCTTAGTGTTCGGAGCGATTTTAACATAAAAACATCAAAAAACTAATGGTTTTTCAACAAAAAAAATGTCAACATCTCATCCCGCGCGCTCTTGCGGATTCGTAGGAAACCCAACACTTTTTAAACATTTCTGTCAAACGGGCTTTTGCGAGCAACTTTTTCGAACTTCTGCAACAACGGTTGCGCACCTGCCAGGGCCATCATCCCTGTCAAATAATACCATGCGGGACACATTCGTTTTTTCTTCGCGCGCGCACGCCGTCGTCGTCGGCCGCGGGGCCCTGAATAGTAGCCACGGTCGTCCGCATGCCACGAAGTGAAGTGTCCGAACGTCATAGGGCGGGAAGCTGGGTGTGGGTGGTGGCGAAGAGTCGTTTGGAAATTTGGTAGAGCTTGAACCGGCCCCCCCACAAAGTGGGGGTATTGCCCGCCTCCTATGAAAACCCTGGCACTGGTGAGAACGGAGTGTCCCCACGTGCTAGTAATTGTTGTTGTTGTTGTTGTTGTTGTTGTTGTTGTTGTTGTTGTTGTTGTTGTTGTTGTTGTTGTTGTTGAATCGTGACCGTCCCTGCACGACTCGGCGATGCGGCAGCTGCAATGCGAATCAAACGGTCGGCGTCGGCGGGCGAGTCAGGAAAAGCTGCACAAGCCGACCATCATTGGCCAAGCTCATGCAGCATACCGCAGCCTGTGAGACAGCGAGTGCACTGCAAGCAAATATCACCCCAAGAGGCTCCCAGGAGGCCCCTAGAGGTAGCCCAGAAGCCCCAAGAGGCCCACAAGAGGTCCCCAGGAAGCCCGAAGAGGCCCCCAAGAGGCTCCCAAAAGGCCTCCAAGAGGCTCCCACAAGGCCCCAACATTTCTCCCCAGAGGCCCCCGAGAGACTTCCGAAGAGACCCCAAGAACCATCCCTGGTCCACGTCAGCGTCGTCGTCGTTGCCGCCGCCGCCGCTGTTGTCGTTGTCGTCGTCGTCGTCTCCCTTCAGGGTCGGCGGCGCTGGCCGTAAGGCCTTCGCAAAATCACCCCTCTGCCCAGAATGGTCAACGCGACATCGCACACAGTGCTTGATACGGCAAGTGCACGGGTTTGCGCTGGGAGGTGCGGCGAGCACGGCGCCCCCCAGCACCTCCGGGGCCTCGCCGGGCACCCTCTGCCGGAACAAGCGCCCTTGGGCGCGAATTCATGGGGGGGCGAAAGAAAGAGGGGGGGACTAAAAGTGCCCTTTGAAAGGGTTCCTTTTCTGCAGCCCGCGCTGCCCCCCTCATTTATTGTAAGATGAAGCCAAGACGATGATCACAACGGGCGAGGATATCTCGAAAATCTCTGAGAACCAACGGCTCCAGAGGATAGCTCGGGCGCCGCGGCCCTCTCAGAGCAATCCGGAACGCTCCGAAGATCGACCCCCCATTACGCGCCCCCAGACCTCCGCCGAATTGGTCTTGCCAATCCGCGGCCCCAGAAGTCCCGACCCCTTCCCCCCGGGGGTGGTTTTTCGTCCCGGATCCGACTTTGAGGGCCACCGGACCCGATGACGGGCCCCGGAGGTCGGCGGCGACAAGAAGGGCGAATAGCCCAGGGGCGGGCATGACACGTAGCCGCCCGAGAGCCTTGTCGAAGACATAGATCATCGGCGCCCCTGAAAACAGGTATTGCTCTCCCCTGGGCTATTCGCCCCTATTGTCGCCTCTGTGGAAGCCGAAATCCAGGAAAAACCGCCGGCGTGACAAAAAACAAATCCTCGGATCTCTGGGTTCTCCGATGCCCGAGGGCGGCCATTTACGCCTGGGGGGGCGCGCGAGGAGCTCCCCTGAGGCTGCGCCGTGGTCTCCCTCCCAGGGCTGGACCTACACGCTGTTTGTTTCTTCAATCTTCGTTTTGTTTTTTGAAGGGGCCCACAAACACACAAATAAATACACACAAATAAAAAGATCCCATATTTTCTGGGTTTTTGTGTTCCCCCCACTTCCCATATTTTCGCATATTTTCCTGGGTATCGACGATTAATTGTGTCTGTGTGTTTCTTCCCCTCCTGAGTTTTGCCCTACCGGTTTTCCTGTACCTCCCTGCCAGAGCGGAAAGCAAAGCGCAGCCGAAGTCCAGCAAAACGGCGTGGAGGTCCGGCCCTGCTCCCTCCCAGGGGAGGCCGGGGGCACGCCGTCGCCTCTGCAGGAGAGACGGGCTCGGGGGGCCCCGGAGCAGCCGGTGCGCTCAGGCCGGGCATGTCCTTCCACAGGCGGATTGTGGGCGAAAAGTCAAACATAGCCAGCACATATCCAACAACAGTGACACATACTCGAAACATCGTCCCCGACTATTTCTTGACTCTTTTTTGACATTCCTATGGACATGCCCGGCTCAACGGTACGTTTCTCGGCTGGGCGGCCTCCGCACTTGTTACTCTTCGCATGGCGCCCCGCCGTTTCTCGTGGCTTTTCGCGTGCGGCCGTCTTCGGGTCCGTCCCGCGCCGAGCACTCTTGAAAGTGCCTCCCTTTGGGCAGATCCTTGGCACATGTGTTGAGCGCCTGCCTCGCAGGGGGATGCGGTCAATCCGTCTCCTCCTCCTCCTCCTCCTTCTCCTCCTTCTCCTCCTCCTCCTCTCCTTCCTCCTGGGGCTCCCGGCGCATCCTTGGCAAGCCTGCCTGGCGCCTCGTGGGCTCACTTGGCTTCAGTTGGGGCCTCCTGGAGCCACTTGGGCCCCCCTCTTCCTCCTCCTCCTCCTTCTCTTCCTCCTCCTCCTCCTCCTCCTCCTCCTCCTCCTCCTCCTCCCCGTGGCCCTCTGGGCCTCGTGTTGCCTCCCCGCGGCACACTGATACCTCCTCCGTGCCTTCGGCACGCGGTGCGTCCGCAGCGCCGTCGCCACCGTCTTCGCTGCTGATGCCGCCAGCGGAGGAGGAGGAAGAGGAGGAGGAGGAGGAGGAGGAGGAGGAGGAGGAGGAGGAGGAGGAGGAGGAGGAGGAGGAGGAGGCGGAGGAGGAGGAGGAGGAGGAGGAGGAGGAGAGGAGGAGGAGGAGGAGGAGGAGGAGGAGAGGGAGGAGGATAAGGGAGAGGGAGGAGGGGAGGATGAGGGAGCAGGAGAGGAGGAGGAGGAGGAGGAGGAGGAGGAGGAGGAGGAGGAGGAGGAGGAGGAGGGGCAGGAGGAGGAGGAGGAGGAGGAGGAGGAGGCGGAGCCTTGGGGACGCTGTGCATCTCGCCTGAGAGCGCGAGGGTGTCCCCTGAGCGCATGCGCAGCTTCCGGCCCTCCACGAAGACGGGTCGCGCGGCGCCCAGGGAGGCGCAGATCTGGCGGCAGCGGTGCCTCCCGATGCCGACGCCGCCGCCGACTCCGTCGCCGAAGCCGACGACGACGCCGACGGAAGATGCCGACGCCGACGCCGACGCCGAGTCCGACGACAGACGCCGACGAAAGATGACGACGACCAACGACGACGCCGACGACGACGCCGACGGAAAACGACGACGACAAGGACGACGACGACGCCGCCGACGCCGACGGAAGACGACGACGCCGACGGAAGACGACGACGACGCCCACGCCGACGACGCCAACTACGCCGACGACGCCGACGACGACGCCGACGCCGACGCCGCCACCGACGCCGACGGAAGACGACGGCGACGCCGACGGAAGACGACGCCGACGAGGACGAGGACGAGGACGACGCCAACGGAAGACGACGACGACGCCGATTTCGACGGAAGACGGAAGACGTCGACAGAAGACGACGGCGACGACGCCGATGCCGACGCCGACGGAAGACGTCGACGGAAGGCGACGACGACGAGGACGCCGACGCCGACGACGACACCGACGTCGCCGACGCCGACGCCGACGCCGACGGAAGACGAAGACGACGACTCGGACGGGAGACGACGACGCCGACGGGAGACGACGACGACGACGATGACGACGACGACGACAACGCCGACGACGACGCCGACGGAAGACGCCGACGACGACGACGACGTCCACCCTCCACCACGCCACGCCGACAGGGCCACGAGGAGGAGGATGAGGATGAGGAGGAGGAGGAGGTGGAGGAGGAGGAGGAGGAAGAGGATGAGGACAATGGGGGCAGACGTGGGGCCCTTGGTCCTTCTTGGGGCCCTGTGAATAAGGAGAGAACACACGGATGGTGATGATGTTGGTGATGATGATGGTGCGGAGGAGGAGGAGGAGGAGGAGGAGGAGGAGGAGGAGGAGGAGGAGGGGAGGAGGAGGAGGAGGAGGAGGAGGAGGAGGAGGAGGAGATGGAGGAGGAGGAGGAGGGGGAGAGGGGGGCAGAAGGGAGGACTTTGACATGGAAGGGGGGAGAAGCGGGAGGAAATCAGGAGAGGCGGAGGAGCAGTCATAGGAGGACTAGTTGGAATACGGCGATCGGGAAGAGGATGAGAGGAGGAGCGGGGGTTAGTGATGGGGGGTGGGGGGATGGGAAAAAAGAGGGGACGCGCACGATACCACAATGATCCCGTCACTCTTACATACACATCTACATAAATGTGTTCGCGATGCCCATGGCGCGCACACGGATCATGCACACACATTAGAGAGAGAGAGAGAGAGGGAGAGAGAGAGAGAGAGAGAGACAGAGAGGGAGCGAGAGAGGGAGAGAGAGCGAAAGAGAGAGAGAGAGAGAAACGGCTGCAGATGCGTATGTGTATGATTGGGTATGTATGCATGTCGGCCTGCCTGTCTGCTTGCTTGTCTGTCTGTCTGCCTGCCTGGTCGCCTGTCTGTATGTCTGTATGTAGTTATGCTTGCTTGTATGAGTGCATGTATGGGTGCATGCATGCATGTTTATATGTATCTATGTTTGTATACATACATGCATGTATGCATGCATGCATGTATATATGTATGTGTATATGTATGTATGCATGTATGCATGTATGTATGTATGTATGTATGTATACATGTATGTATGCATGTACGTATGCATATAACTGTGTAGTTACACAGGTAGATGTAGCTACATACACACATACACACATCTATATGTGTATATATGTATATATATACATATATTAGACTAGTTGCGTACGTGCATGTATGCATGCATGTAGGTGTGTATGTATACATTCAGTGTATCTATGTTTATGCATATAGGTGTATATATATATATATATATATATACACATGTGTGTATGCGTGCATGTCTGCCTGTCTGTCTGCCTGCCTGCCTGTTTGTCTGTGTGTCTTTCTGTATGCATGCATGTATGCATGTTTCTAGGTAGGTCGGTAGGTCGGTAGGTAGGTTTGCACGCATGTGTAACATCAGAAACGACTATCTGCCTCTCCCTGCCCCGGCTGCCTCTCTGCCTCCGTCACTCCCCGTCCCACCTCATCCCCTTTCCCCCTCTCTCCCTCCCTGCCTCCCTCTGTCACTTCCCCTTTCCTCCCTCATCCCCCTCTCCCTTGTTCCTCCACCCTCCCCCTCTCGCTCTCCCTCTCTCCCACTCTCCCTCCGTCCCTCCGTTTCTCCATGCCTTCATCCCTTCGTTCCTTGCACCCTCGTTCAACCCTCTCCCGTCCTCACACATTCTTTCCGTTCTCCCCCTGCTCTTCACCCACTTCTCCTCCTCATCATTCCTTTTCTTTCTTGCGTCCTCCCCGCTGGAATCCGTCGGGCACTTCCGAAAGCACCCCCGCAGTCTCCGAAAACTTCAGAAAGCACCCTGGCACCCTCTGACCCTCCACGTAAACATCCGATTGTCACCGAAGACACTTGGAAAACAAACAAAACCTTCGAACGGCTGCATTCCCTCCCTCCCTGGGGATCTCCAGAGGTCATCACAGTTACCGGGAGGATCCCAAAGCTGGAGACCTCCAGAACGCCAGAAAGGGCCAACACACGCCCTTCCTCCTCCTCCTCCTCCTCCTCCTCCCCCTCCTCCTCCTCCTCCTCCTCCTCCTCCTCCTCCTCCTCCTCCTCCTCTCCTTATCCTCGATACTCGACATCCCTCCTCCTCCTTCTCCTTCTCCGCTTCTGCCTGCTCCTCCTCCGCCTCTTTTCTCTGCTCCTCCTCCTGCTCCTCTCAAACATCGGTCTCTGGACCTCTCCCGGGGCGCGCTCCGTCCAAAAATTCGCGGCGGATCCACCCGCGGCCTCGAACAACCACCCGGAGGCCCCCCCCCAAAAGGCGAATCACAACAACACAGCCTGGATCCTCGAGCCTCCTCCCCTCCGTCCTGTGCTGCTTGACCTCGTTCTCGCCGCTGGCGTAGAGGTTCACAATCAGCTGGATCAGCGCCAACTGCTCCCCCGGCCACAGGGAGCGCTCCGCAAGCGCCACCATCGCGCCGATCAGCGGATTCAGCGCCTCCCCTCGTAGTCGAGGTTTCGAAATTCGAAAACGTTTCGCGCCCGTTTGTGGCCTCCTGGGCATCCAGATGTCTCCGGGGATCTGAGGACTTCTGGAGACCCTGGGAGGCTGTCGGGGTCGTCGTCGTCGTCGTCGTCGTCGTCGTCGTCGTCGTCGTCGTCGTCGTCGTCGTCATCGTTGTAGTGGACGTCGTTGCCGTCGAAGGTAGGAAAGGAGGAGAGGGATGAGGAGGACTGGGAGGAGGACAGGATAGGTAAGGAGGGGAGGGACTAGGGGGGGAGAGGATGGGGCGGCGGAGGAAGAGGGAGAGGAGATTGGGGAGGGGGAGGAGAGGGAGGGGGAACATTCCCCTCCTCCTCCTCCTCCTCCTCCTCCTCCTCCTGCCCCTCATTTGCCTCTTCAGCGGGTTCGTCGTCGTCGTCCTCCTCCTCCTCCTCCTCCTGCTCCTCCTCCTCCTCCTCCTCTTCCTCCTCCCCCTCCTCCTCCTTCCCCCCCCCTCCTCCACATTCACCTTCACCCTCCCCTTCACCTTCACCTTCACCCTCAGCTTCACCTTCATCCTCACATTCACCTTCACCTTCACCTTCCCCTCCTTTTCTTTGTTTTTCTGTTCCTCCTCCTCCTCCGCCCCCTTCCTCCTGCCGACGCGGGCCCTGCGCCTCGTACGGCGGCGGCAGCTCGAAGCTGCTGGGGCCCTCCAGCTTGAAGTCCAGGATGGTCGGGTGTTGCCAGGAGTGCCCCTGGCTTAAGGCGCCCCCAGGGATCTCCAAGCAGGCTCCCACGGCCTCCAGAGCACCCCTCATGAGGCCTAGAGGGCCCCAGGGGCTCCAACATTGGGCTACAAACTGGGGGTACCTTGGACCAGGGGCACCTCGGACAACCCCCGAGATGGACCTCCCCGCGAACCAGCGGAACGCAGCGTTGTGCATGGTGGTATGGAGCATGTC